TTGGGCTACGCTCAGACCCCATTTGCCCTGTCGTTTTTGGAATACATTTATCCAGCTGCACTTATTCGTTCTTCCACCCTATGGGAAGCCTCGGGACGCTACGATGTATTCCAAGGACGACAGGGCAAATGGACCTGAGCATGGTCTGAAGGCTAGCCCCGTGCACAAGAGCCACGCAAATCCTAAAGTGACCGCCAAATGTCATATGGTCACATAAACAAATTATTACAGCCAGCCTATATGCACAAGGACCAGACAACTCTTAATGTGACCGGCGAACTTCAGGCAGTCACATAAACAAAAGATTACACTTACAACGACGCATTAAATTAGCCATATTGTTTTACAATGATATTGCCATTTTAATACACCGTTCGCATCAGCTATATAACTTAATCGGACCTGCAGAAAAATACCCATGGGTCAGCCGTGTTTGTGAGCATTTTCATGAAGTAGAGTAAGTGTTCCTTACTCCCTCAGCAGGTTCAACTTGATCTAAAGTTGCGCTCTAAATAAAAACATGTTAGAGAAATTCTGTTGAGTTTCAGGCGTGCTTCAGCAAATAAGGGACTGTATGACTACTTTTTTTCAGAATTGAAGCTAGCCTTGCAGTGCTTTGTTAATGTGGCCACCTGACTTTTAGCGGTCACTTTAAAATTTGTCTCACCATTGTGCATGCGGACTTGCCTTTAGACCATGCTTGGTCCTAGTCGTCTTGTTCTTTTCGATATACATGTATTCGGCTTCACTTACTGCCTCCTTTCACCCGACAGGAAGTCTTGGACTCTAAAAGCCCAATCCCCTCACTGATGTCTAATTGGGGATGTGACAAAAGAACTTCGAAGCGAACCTTCTCCAGGATGGCCTACAGTGTTGTTGTTGTATTCATATTAAACTGCCTGTAGAAAAGTGAAACAAGATAGGTGCGAAACCCTTGTATTGAGTAGCATCTTGAGATTCTCATCCTCATATTATTTGCACTTTAATAACGCATACATATTTGTTAGAAGCAACGAAAAATGGGTATACATCGTGATTTTGGCGTTTTGAGACTTCCCACGATTTATAAGAAAGCATTAGTTTGGGTTAATGTATATGGACTAGGAGGATAAGAATGGATAGTGCAGCGTCCCGAGACTTACCATCTAATGAAAAAAGGCAGTAGGTAAAGCTAGATGCATGTATTTCAACGCAAATAAAACGGCTAAGGCCGAGCATGGCCCGAAGGCTAGCCCATACGTACAAGGGTAATTCAAATCCTAAAGTGACCGCCGAACGTCAGGTAGTCGCATGAACAAGGCATTACAGATAGGGACCCTGTCTTGGCCTAAAGGCCAGCCAAGCGTAGAAGATAATATCACAAAGTGAGTGCTAGATATTAAGTAATGACATAAAAAATAATATTATAATTACAGTAATAGTGTTGAATTCTATGGTGCCCGCTACTGGACGCTAAACATATGTCTAAATCCGGTGTTTAACTAAAAATAAGACAGGATCAAACTTAGTCCTCTAAGACCAAAGGCTTGCTGCACCATCACCTGCGATATCTTTACTCGGGTGTAGTTGGACGAATTAAGATACGGACCGTTTCCAGATGTATAACAGTGGTGTCGTCCAGTTGTCAATAGTTTACCTGTACAATACGGAGACAAGGTGGAGCTAACCGCAAATAATCTCCTGCCTGATGCAGTGAACGGTGAACATAATGATAACAGTCTTTATTCACAACTAGTGTCGAGGACCGAGGCTAACAGATGGAAGAGTAACAGCAAGCTCCGGATAACAGATGGTCAAACGAAAAAAGTACAGCAACCACTGGTCATATGGGCGGCTAAGAAATCAATTATTACTAGCAAATCAATCCCATGCAGGAGGTAAATCGTAGTTGATACTGTGTGATCTGTCGGTACATAATATTGTCACAAAAATCAGTGCGATTTTAAATAAAAAACTTTTATTCAAGTTTACTGTCTAAATTTTCCACCTCCTTGTTATTCTTAGCGTTAATAAGCTTTATTTTGCTGTTCTTTTTAATTTTTTTGCTGAAAAATGCTTCTGTTACGTGAGTGAGTTTTAACTTACCAACATGATTTATTGGACGCTTAACTATACGCGCCCGCACATATGAAATAGCGAGGTTAATCTGCACCATTATTGGCTTTTAGCGTATGTGTAGTCATGTCCCAAGTTATGCGCAGACTTCCTCAAGTAGCTTATTTGCATGCGATCAAAAGCACTATTTTAAGTGTACACGAAATTTTTTCTTGCACAGGACATCCACATTACATTTATCGTAACATATTTTGGTATGATTTTAAATACATTCGTGACAGTAACATGATTGAGTTTTTAAACACATGGTTTTTGTAATATTATTTTAATAAGTCTTCTGTGAAGTAACTTTATTCCGTTTAGAGTTTCATGTTCATGTTCCCACTTTGAAGATGTCAGCTAGTGAGACAAGCAATGGTACACCCCGGCAAATGTTGATCAAAGTGAAAGATTTAGAGGCAAACACTACGCTTGAAGGATATAGGACGCAAGGACTTGAGGGCTCCGATAGTCGTGTGACTTGTCGACCTAGGAATCCGGAGCCTTTGAGTTTGATGGCGGAGTCTCAGCGATTGCAACGTGAGATGCTGCGCGTTGAAATGGTATGGCTAAAAACTTTGCAACAAATTCAGCAATAGTCATTATAAATAGAATTTGACAAAGGTAGTTGGCAAATGAAGTGTCGCATTACAGTAAATACATAAATATGATGCACTCCTAGGCCTACGCAAAATTTCTTAGAGGTGAATATTTCATTTCCGTGTTTTAGCTTTTTTAGCTATACTATTCAATCATGCATCGACTGTTTAAAATACCTTCAGTTGCATCCATATTAGTGAATTTTAAAATGTGAGCATCGTTTTGAAGGCATATTTTACATAACTAGAAAACTTATTCCATTCTTATCAACGAAAGGTGCCCATTTTAAAGGAGCCTGAGTAAAAATAAGCCTTAGGAGAGCCAAAACGTAGAGGGCAGCAAACCTTATTATTAAAATGTTTTTGGTCACTCGATCAAAAGAAATCAGCAACGGTAGTTTTGTGAAAAATCCTTGAGCACTTTTAAATTTTATGACGTTAAATCGAGGTTTCTTACAAGTTTAAACCTGGAAAATTAATTTTTTTCCATAGCCCAAATGAGCGCTCGTGATATAGGCCTGTGAACATGATGGGACAAGAATGAGCTACACATGAAAAGCAATTAATTCTATCACTAAGTAAGGCTTTAATGGCATAAAGTACAGGAAACTTTGGTTTTTGCTCATAAGTGCGAAACCACATGTTGAAGAAGTGTAATGCATGAATACTGCATTGGTATGGTAAAAAATCACCATCCTTGCCCTTAGAGAGGCAGCAATGGCATTTTAGAATCGAAAGCTTTTAAAAAGTTAAAGTGATAATTGCCAAGTAACGACAACTAGTAACGCAACTTTGGATTCAAGTGAAGAAAGGTGTGTTTCGACTGTTCTGGTGGGCCGCTAACACTCGATGCCGGCGTTAAATAGAAAAAGGAAGAGCGATTTTGCCTTGTATAGGAACAATGCGCGTTCGTATGCATTTGCACGGTTCCAACTATCTAAATCGCGGCAGTTTCCGGGGAAAGCATGACCCCGTAAGAGGCGTGGTCGCGTGGCGAACGTTTCCTGAATGATTGAACACTCATATTTGCCCTCGACTCAGCGTGTTTTGTCGCCGAAGGTGAGATGGGAGCATCTCGCGGTCGCCACCCATTTAAAGCTGCTTCTCTATGCAATCTATGTAATTACAGCAAACTCAAAGCGAATCACTTCAATCCAGCCGATAAATCATAAAATTTTTCTATTTGTTTACTCCTTATACAAGACTAAACTTAAGAAGGTTTAGCGCACACAAGATTGTCTTTGCTACAGTCGGAAGATGTGGATTTGCGATCGCCAAGTCAGAGATCGGAAGTAACCCCAATTCAAAGCACAACTTCCCCAACACAGACTCGAATGCAGCTTCTTGAGGGCGAGTTATTGGACTACAAACGCAAAATCGCGAGTTTGCAGGAGAGCAATCAGCGCCATCAAAAACTAATTCAAACCCTTCAGGGTCAGGTAATTTGTTTCCTATTATTTATTTCAGGATTATAAGCTCATCAAGACTGAAACATGACCAAGTAAGGTCACGCAAATTATGAAATTCATCAATGAAAAACAGACTTTGGATTTCGTGTACATCGTTATTCCTTTTATTGTCAAATTTTGACAGTTAAGCACATAATTTGGGATTCCTACATTGCGGAAGCTTGTATTTGCTCTAATATTTCTTACCTGCTATGTTTTGCCTTTACTGCCCTAAGTTCTATGGCGAATTTTTAATTACAAAATTCGTAGGCACGAAAGTTCTTGCATCGCTTAAAACCAATGCTCAATCTTCTTGAGAAAAACTGTCATTAAATGCATCATCATGGCCTAGCTATGATGAGACCATACTTTCTCGTTCACCGAAAACTTTGTTCCTTTCCAAATGTTGCAAGAGTGTTGCATTATGTGTGCCTTCTCAAAGTATTACGAACATTAAAAACACATTAATGAGACTTAGTATTTAACAGGAGTGTTTTCCGCCTTTTAAGAAGAGGTTTATTGATTGTAAGCCCTCTGATACCAATCACCAAAGTGTCTTTAGGTTATGCTGACACCTGTAAGCATCCATCCTGTTTTATAATGTAACAATGCATGATCAATGATGCCAAAAGTATTACTGTAGCGCATGTTCAAACATCACAAAAGGCTGTTGAAATATTCAAGGGGGCGTGAGAAGTTGCTGCAACGCCCAATTTCGCCCACTTTTCTTGGGCGTTTCCAGCGGCGCTGATTCACCAGATTGAAATGACTTTTCTCTTTCTTCAAACATGTCGCTACTCCAATAACATAACCATCTATAAGTGTAAAAGTTAGGTCTCCATAGGGTTGGGCAAATGCATAAGTCCGACTCTACTTCGAATTAGAACTAAACCACAAAACCAAAAACAGTCATCATGCTTTTACATTTAGGTGACACAATACAAGCGCAAGAATACTGACCTGGAGATGGAGATGGAAGATCTTAAGTTGGAGGCTCAAAAGAGTGCAAAAAAGGTATATTTGGTTTGATTTGGATTTTATCTTATTTCTACTGATGCAAAGTGAGTAGCAAAAATTGCGGTTCTGAACGCTTTAGTTACAATCGAAAGAGATGGAGCATGACAGTCGCCTGGATGCACGGGAAAGCATGGCTAAAATGCGTGAGGAGAGCTTAATTGCAGAATTGGAAAATCTAACCAGTACACTCGAGTCGGAACGAAATAAGTACGCAGTTTCTTAGCTACAAAAATGCATAACACAAGTTAACTTCCTTTGTTTTCTACAGATCAGCTGAATTATCACGTGTAAATGAGGTCCTGCAGGACCAGCTTGAAGAGACCGCTACAGCAAATCAGGTATGACCTTCATTTGGAACTGAAAGGGACCAGAGCAGACTAGCTTATCGAATTTATTTTAAGTTCTTTCACTGGGGATCGACACAAGTGAATATTCAACGTAGTGATTTTTATTTTGCTTACCTTCAAATCCGTCATTTCTAGTGCTTTTTTAATGTTGAAGAGAAAGAAAATGAGGTTGTTTTTAAGTGGCATACAAAATAGAAGCGTAAATTGGCAATCACTTTAACTTTTCTTAATATTCTGACGGTATCCATCAGATTAGAGTCCCATTCCACTTATTTTCCATCGTCAAGTAAATAAGAGAAAAACCCACATTCATGAACATTAAAAAGTAAATTCGTGCAAATACTTTGGGATTGATGGACTATGGTAGTAGTAACGATGCTGTAAGAGATGTCTATTTACAAAGGGCTTAAGTAGGGATGTGGCACAGTTGACTCAGGCTTGGCGTCAGGCAACACAGCAGCTGGAGAAACGTGAGGCTGACTGGCAGAATGAGGAGATCGCATTCAACGAGTACTTCGCAACAGAACACAATCGCCTACTGTCACTGTGGCGTGAGGTGGTTGGGCTGCGGCGTACCTTCGCCGAGCTGCGGCACCAGACTGCCCGGGACTTCACACAGGTGAAATTCTCCTCCATTCCCTCCTTATGACTGTTTGCTACGCATCAGCTCAATAATTACGACGCGATTCCATACTCTTTTGGCGCAAAATCAGACTGCTTTACTAATCTAAAATCCTATTAGCTGCTCCACTCTCTGTGAAGATAATGTGCTATGGCCCTAGATTTCTGTACATCCCAGCTGGTGTTTACCTTTGATTTGGTGTATTTCTGAGTCTGTCCTTACAAACAATTCTTCATACCAATTTTCTGTAGCACTTGCTTGTTTCTGCATATGTTTATTCTGGCTGATTAGTCGGAATACGAAGCGTCAATCAAACTTTGGTCTTTTATTAAGGGATGACTCTTAGCTCGGTATATTTACTTAAAATGGTTAAAGCCTCTTTTTTATGAAAACATATTAGCAAAAACCAAAGCTATCCATCCGAAACACCAATGCATTAAGCACGGTCATGCTGAGTAAGCAGGTCGTATGCTTTGATTTGTTCATCTCCGTTGGGTTGCGAATTCTACTTCGCAAGGGTAACGCTGCATGAAAGTAAGCTTTCCGTCAGTCATTTTGAGGAATCCCGGAAACAAAATTCGAGCTTGAGAGATTTAAAGACGGTAAAGATGCTCATCATTATTTCCTGAATAAAACTCTTTTCATGACAGATCACGGTTTGGGTTGATAAAGTTGTTTTCCTCATTTCTGTTGACGACTTTAAGGTCCTTAATTGGTTGGTAGCTCTATTCAAGTAATAAGCTAACTGTATGTCAAAGCATTTGTGGGGCACCCTCGTATGTTACACTTCCCTTCAGTATACACTATTGAGACACAAAGTGCTGCAGTCATGTAGCCATTTAATCGTTACGCCATTCAAACCACCTCGGACAGTTTCAAAATGTTAACATCACTTAGTATGGCAGCAAGATTTTTCCGTTATCCGTTTGCTTATGCAAATAAAGTTCCACAAAATGAAGATTTGAAGTGTTGCTACAGGTGGGATGACTGTTGACTCCACATAACTCACAGTATATTTGGAAACTTATGTTAAACTTAATTAAAGGTGCTGCAAATATATAAACGCACAGAACACAAATGAATTTCAAAGTAATTTGTTCTGTAAACAAGCTTCGTTCATTAAACGCTATTTGACGAATATGCGTTATAGATGAACAGTGAGATAATGCGAATGGGTCAGTCATTGCAATCAGCATGCTCTGCACTGGGCAATAACCTCAAAGCCGCTGAGTTGGAATCGGCTGATGCTCTGGCCCAGAGTCGACGGCAGCTATTGGCTGAGGAGGCGGACGCGAAAGCGCGTAACCAATCACTGACCGAGTCATTAACGCGTAGCCAAGCCCGATTGGTGGAAGCCGAGGATCAGATCATGCAGCTCAAGAGGCGAGTCCAGGAGCTTTTGACGGAAGTGAGTGTCCTTTTTAAAAAAATATATTAAATACTTCTCAGGTTATTTTTAACTGAGTGTAGTCGGAACAAATGTCGGACCTCATTTTTATTGATTAAAACAGGTTGCAGACAGAGACCGTGTCTTGAATACACTACAAAGACTTCGATCCTCATTTCCCTCTCCAAAGCATTCCGATACGGAAGAAGAGACGGCTGGAGAGGATCCAGTGACAGTGACAAAACGTTTAATTGAGCAAACACGAGGAATGCATCAGGCGCTCTCTCAGATTGCTCAGGTTAAATTCTTTAACAAATTCTGTTCCATTTTAAGTCATTTACTATATCAGTACTTCTGTTGGGTACTTTTATTACTAACTTTAAGTTTCCAAGCTTATAAACATCAAAAACCTCAGCTTCTCCGAATGCGGCAATAATAAAAGATCCAATTTTGCAAGCGTAATTTCATTTTCATTAGCTATTGTAAAGCATTGTGATGTGTTTTGGAGAAATGTTTTGAGTAAAACCCCTATAAACTGAAATAGAATTACGGGAGAACATGCGTTTTAAAGTCAGTTTCCTTTTTTTGAGTTTAAAATAATACGATTCTAAATGGTTCGAAATTACACTAAGATAAAACGAGTTGTTTTCATAATTCATTTATATAATCCTTTGTGAACTTAGAAATCCTTAGATTTTTAAACCTCTCAGATTTATATGGTGCAACTGAGTACTTTATAAACTATCAAAACAGGTAATTTGCAGAAGTTATTAAATTCATGATAATGAAAATCATTGCATTCAGTTTTCTTGAAGTGAGACAAATTGCAGAGATATTTCACTGAAAGGGACACTTATCAGGTATGCTCTTGATCTCGTGCTATTCAGACTGTCCTCTCGGACACAGCGAATGCTGATGTAGATGAATCACAGGAGCCTTTCATGGTAAGCTTCCACCGCCAAATGCAGACCGGTGATTGGGGAGAAGATGAGAACGGTGTACTAGTTACACCACGTTCCAGGCGCCCGAGATCCACGTCTCCATTGGGTGAGCACCACTTACTTCCGCGTCCTTCCACCCTTCCAAAGTCGCCCTCCGCTGCGCCTCCGCTCAAACTGGCTGAAACCACTGTGAGTGCAGTTCAGTCAGCTCTCAATCGCCGTGTAACTCAAGTGAGTCTCGCCTTTCTCCTTCGTCTACTTCTTCTTCCTCAACAGATAATAGTCAGTGGGCCTGGCTGTTTTTTTGGAAATAAAATTTTAGGTTCAGGCATTGCGACTGAAGCTCTCTAGTTTGCGAGGTCGATTTGAGGGAATGACCAAGCGGTTCGAAGAGAGTGAGGAGGAAAGAACACGACTTCTGGAGAGTGTTAGCAACTTGCGGACTGACCTTGACTTCGTACGCAAAGAGGTTGACTCCTTGCGCGTGGAAAGGGACAAGACCAAACATGCGCTCAGGTGTGCGGATTTAAGTAGCCTAAGCTGAACTGAGTTCCTTAGGGCTTGCATTTTTATGTGGAAGCACAAAACCAAATGAACGAACGAGCAAAGAGCTTAAAATGAATACAGAAAAATCCCATACGACTTGCCTGTTCGAAACAAAAATCTAAGGAAGAAATGTGATGTACTGTTAACACTGCAGGTAGCACAACTTGACCGTTTTGAACGTCTCACAAGTAGTAACATGTTCTTTGCATGCCGTATTAACATACTGGATTCAATTTCAAATTAAAATGCATACTTTATGTAGCTGATTTTAAATTTTTAAAAATTTAGTTTCCCAATTTTAAATATCTGTAGCTAGTAAAATGTAGGTCAGGAATCTAAAAGCCATTCTTTGTAGCAATTCCATAGAGGAACGGAACATACTGGAGAGAGCGAGAACTACCAACACAGAACAAATTAACTCCCTTCAGACGGAGGTGGAACAGTTTCGACAACTCCTTCACGAAACCTCGAAGGAGCGCGATAGCCTTGTGGAACAACGCACTGCGAAGCAGCTAGAATATGAAAAGGAGGTAGGCTACCTTGTTAGTTGGCACTTTTCAGCATTGAGCTTACTCATCCTTCATTCCCTCTGCTGCTCCTCTTAAAGCCCGCTCCGATGAAGTTTTACGTAATGTCGCCTATGTAGTTAACAAAAACTCACGTTTGCTTAGTGGCCTTGAATTTGTCAGTGAAGGTGGCGGACTTATCATAAAGTGAAGTGGGATCCCTCGGGAAACTAAAGGGACTGTTACTAGCGTTCGTCTCTGAGGTAAATCGCATCTTCCTTCATTCAAAATCAATGCATGACGTGTTTAAATGTAACGAAAGGGTTTGACGATTTGTGAAAAAGTTTATGAGGCCATTATCACTACTTTCCTTTAAATATTTAACAAATTTGATTATTGAAAACAAACAGATGCCTAGAAATAGGTTCCCAAATTGCAGACGTTCATTTAATGTGAGATTATCACCAAAGTTGGGTTTTCGATTGCCATTTCCCTAAGTAAAATACTTTTACTGATTTGCCCAAAGTGAGCTCATGCAAACTGGTGACTATTCAAAAGGACAACATCAAGACAACGAGCGGAGGGAGCAAGAAAACCTGGTGTCGAATACAGTAGTAATGAAAACAGAGTTGCAAATTTTATTCCCTAAATGTAGCTTTATCGAAGGTTAGCCTTGCTTAAGTCACCCAACGACTATGAGGAGACCTAAAGCATTCGTTCTTTACAAACTCATTCGAATGTACTTTATTTAAGAAAGATTGAAAAAAACGGTTATGGGTGCAATTGAATTAAAATATCGGCAGTCCTCTCATGCGACTTAATTCTACTAAGTTAAACACCTTCGATCGCTTTTGTCCCCCATTTGAAAAAAAAATGGCTAAAACTAAATTGGCCAGAATGTTTAGTCAGGGTTACAAGCAAAAAATGAATAAATTTGAAAGTCCAGCTCGTAAGGATAAGCGCATTAAATGGAATCCATTCCAAACACCAAATAGGCACAATTGTAGATGGAAAATTTTGGAGTTTAATACGGATGGGTAAGGCTTTACTTACTTGTTCACAGGTGCGCGAGGCTACGCGCCTCCAGCGAACTCTGGATCAAGCAGAGGCGCAGATTTCGCAGTTGAAGGAGGAGGTGAGCAATGCACGCAGTGAGGGAGAGCAACTGGAGAAGCGAAATTTAACCCTTTCCAACGACTACAGCGAGGTCGCTGGAAAACTCGAACGCGCAGAGCGCCGAATCACTGAGCTCATCGAACAGCTTGATTCAGTAAGTCATATTTAGGTAATATAATATGAAATTCGTAACCAGTTCCTTCTTGGAGGAGGAGGTTCGCTCAAATACACCTCAATTTTCATATTAAACATAGTTAACATTTGTTGTTTGTTGTAATATACTTCAAATTTTGGAACATGGAACAGAGTCGTAAGAACCCGCAATAAGTCGCTTCGTTATATCGAAGTCTGCTTCTAATTAGGAAACAAAATATTTCGTGTAAAAGGTGTCAATCACTTAAGCCTGTAATCGTAAAACGGTCGGATAAGAACCAAATTTTGCAACAAGGAATCGATGAAATCAAAAACTTGGCCGTGACTAGGTTGTCTCCATCCATATTAGTTTTACATCAGTCCTACAACGGCTTTACCCGGTTTTCTAGGTCGCTCTAAATGTTTCACTCTTTACATACCTATTAAGCATTCAAGAAGTGCAGTATTAATTGTGTCACTACAGCCTCCTTTGCAATCGTTGTTGACACTTTAGCTTCACCAAGAGAAACAGAAAGAACAGGATAAAATGATTAGTCTTGAATCACAAATTGAGACAAAGGATCGCGAGCGGTCGGAGCTGACCCTCCAACTGAATCTTTCGACATCTAATGAGACACGAGCGTTGGAAGAACGCAACCATTTGCGTACCGAGATGCAGAAATTGCGCAATCAGCTATCACGCTTAGAAACGGAGCTCCAACTGAAATCAGCGGAGTTGGGACGTCTACGAGAGGCTTTAGCGCGGACAGAACAGCAACGTGTGCAGACTGAAGGTGAAGTGTTGCGGGCCAATCGGGAGAGGGAGGAGCTCGCTGAGGAGGTAGCCGCAGCCAATAGGCAGGTGAATAACATGACAGAAGAAGCGGAGAAGCTGCGGAGAGAAGTGGGACAACAGGCAGGAGTTGTCTCCCGATTAACTGAAGAACGCGAAGAATTGATTCGAGACAAGGAAGATCTCTCCTCGCGAGTAGGCATAATAGCCATTTTTGGTCGCATAAAAGTTTTTCGCTCACTTGGGAACCTATTTGGGTACATTAAGTGTCCATCTTTTATACTTATGTCTAAATGATTATCTGCTGAAAACTCTAATCCTCTCCAGAGTTTAGAAAACCACACTATAATGGAGTCATATTGCATTTAGGGCAGAATTTTGGGCAACAAGTAGGTAAATGCCTCAATCGCTCTCTCCTAGCTTCAAAGGCATTGTAATGCACAGCATTAATCGTACAAACCATGTGCGCCCAGCAACTTGTTAGTTTTTGGGGACATTTTGTGCTTTCATGAACATAGAATTGCAGAAATTAACAAATTCGCCAAAATTATGAAAATATTACTATAATGGGGTTGATTTCCAAAGTATCATCCCAATTATATACAAGTTTTGGATGCACACCTTTCATTAGAGCATTTATTGGTGGATTTAACGAAACAGTCGCAAAAAATTAAAGTCTGCCGTTTTCTTCTTTAATTTTCTAAATAAAGCTATCGTTGAACGAGAGAGAACGCAGACAGCTGTCGGATTTAGTAGCCAAACTTCGGACGGACAGAGAGGTCATGGACAGCGAGGCCTTTTTGGCCCAACGTCAGATTACTGAGCTAAAGAACAAGGTTGAAAAGCAAGAAACGGACATAGCTAATCTTACTCTTCGTCGAAACACTCTTCAAGGCATGTCTTTTGGTTCTAACCACATTTGATGTTTCTGCGGTTCAATAATAAGTTAAATAAACATTGCAGCCGAGGTTCAGCGGTTGCGAAGTGACTTTGAGACGGAGCTGGGCAAAATTCAGCGCCAACGGGATCGTCTAGGGGCTAAATACACGGCAGAGGTGGAAGAATTGCGGGTTAATTTAGCTACAGCTGAACGACGACTGGTGGAAGCCGAAGGTTAGTCAATGCGGTTAGCCTCAGTTACATCAGCAGCTGATTGTGATGGGTGATTTGCAATGGCACTGCCTTCTAGAAGCCGCGATGCAGGCTGTTATTCGGGCGGATCGAGCTGCTGCGGAGGCAACGAAGGCCTCCATACGTGAGACAGACCGACTTGGGATGAGCGAGCGAGAATCTCAACGATGGGCAGAGGAACAGGCAAGACTGAGCCATGAACTTAAGCTTGCCCAGAGGCAAGTTTTCTGCTTTACATATAAGCACTCAAGTTAACTGTTCCTTCCAAGAATAACGGGCATAATTTTAAATGAAATCCGGTTATTGTAAGGATAAAAACTAACCGACCCAGAGAGTTTGAAGCTTTTAAGAAGTGTAACGAATTTTTAGTTTAAAATCGTCAGAGCTCATAGTCAAGGATGTTTATTTGACACTTAGCTCACGTTAATGTTCAGCTGATTGACGTTAAAGCCTAACCGATTTGATAAAAAGAATCGAAATTTGATGGTTTACAGTTTTATTTACTCATCCTTGAAGGGAACGAGACGACGCCTTGATGCGAGCGGAGCAGGAGCGCCAGAAAGTAGTGGCGCTTGCTGCGGAAGATCACGCAACTGTGAGGGAACGAATTTTACTCCTGCAAGAGACGGTGTGTTTACTTTGGTCAATTACTTTGTCATTTTGATTTATTTGACACTGATAAGTTAAATTACCACCATGAGTGTCGTTTCAGATAGCAGATTTAGAGAAAACTCTTGATCGGACGCGTCGCGAAGCAGCTTCAAGAGCTGAGAAGGACGATATTGCACTGAAGGCAAAAACAGAAGATTTACGTACATGTAGGGAACAGTTTGAGGAGTTCAAGTGCGTTTGCTTTTTTCAAAAAACAGTGGTTAATGCTCATTTTATTCGTGCATTTCCTGCGCACTGGTAGTAAGAGGTGGTTGCCTCGAAACCAATTTTGAGGCTGACCAAGTGGAAGCGGATTGATGTCTGACATAGTGCTGCTGAAACTTGGCCTATGCCGACCAATTTTATGATGAAATTTAAATAAAATTGCATTGCGTCAAGCACCATTGCTTGTGTTTTCTAAATCCAGTAAAAAACAGTCAAGTCATTTGATTTTCAAGTAGAGGAACATAAAACTATGAAGATGAGTCCTTCGACAACCATAGTTTTAATTGATTAAAAAAAGCTCATCTAGATATTGTTTAATGTAATTTTGAATTTTGCAGAGACAAGCTCTTTAGCGTGTTGAATGCTTCACAGTCAGTCGGCCATTCAAATGGTTGTAGTCAAGATGCTGCACTTTGGTCAACTTTAAGTCTGAAGCCTTTTAACGAAATCAGAACCACCCACAGGGAAAGAGGGTGGCTGCCTATGTAGCAGATGTTGTCTCTTTGTTACAGGTGGCTGATTGTTGATTGTCGTTGTTGTTGCGTTGTAACTTCGGTGCTTCCAAACACGTAAAAATGTGCCATCAAGGCTTGTCAGTCCTGTGCCTTGGTGATGCGACTGTGTGCCCAACCCAAATGCGACCACAGAGATAGTTTGATAACAACAGGTTTTCAAGAAAAGTAGGCAGAGAACTTACCAAGGTAGTAGGACAGCTGACAGGAACATCTGCCTTTCCTTGAAGGGTTAATCACGAGAAGGAGATTTCCAGCTTGAAGGCGGAGGTTAAGGCGCTGGAGTCGAGTCTTGAACGCACCGTTCACGAATACAATGAAGTCCAACTTGAGCTTCGGTCGCGTGAAGAATCGCGCTACACAAATCGCTCTGATTACTCCGAAGCCACAAAACTACTTCGAGAAAGTGGGCTAACTTAACTCTTCATTATCCTATTACTGCACTACATTCAACAGAGGATGAGTAAATAAAATATTTTGAACTAAAAAAAAAAAAATTTAAGCTTCCTTTTATTCTTTTTACGCCACCTTCTATTCCCATGCACTTTATAATTCGTTTCATCCTGCACATCAGTCTGATTGTGCAAATAGCTAAATAGGGTGCCGAGCCTGCTGCTTACATGGTGGCCCACTTGGGGTCCAAAAAGGCGATTATATAAACACCTGAAACCGATTTTGAACCAACCGCAGAGTGGAGTACAATATGAAAAATTCCCTTAATTTCTTAAAAGTAATTGTTAACAGTTGAATAGGAAAGAATGACCAGAAAGCAATTACTGCGGCGTTTAGAAAATGTGGCAATGGATTGTACCCTGTTTTCTCCACGCCCAACCCCACAATCATGGCTTCTTTTGCCTAAAATGTAATTTTCTCGGAAAATTCCATGTTAATTGCAGCTGAAGAAAGTCGTAACAATCTGCGTCGTGAAGTTGTTGACCTCCGCAAGCAGCTGAACGAGACGGAATTCGCAAAGTCCACTCTTGAAGTAACTATCCAGGAGCTGCGTCGTCAAATGCGTGAGATTGAGGCTGACAGAGGCGAACAAAGTCTCATTCTTAACGACATGCGAGAACGGTTAGAGCGCAGTGAATATGAGCATCGCAACCGTAAAGAGAAACTACATACGCCACCACCGATTTCCAAACCACGCGATAACCATTCAATGGAAGAACTGAGACTAAAGCTCTCCCAATGTGAGCTTGCGAACTCGCGACTTCAACAGAACTGCGCGGAACTGAGGACGAACTTGGGCGAAGAAATCGCAAACCTAGAAGAAGTAAAACGGTAGGTCTCAGATATATAAAATCTAGGATTAAATTGTCTTTTTAAATTTAGTGAATGTGTGATGCTGAGGAAACAATTATCCGAGGAAGAGGCTGTGCGGCACAATTTGGAGGCCGAATTAAGCAGTCTTCAACGCCGTCAGGCTGGTGCTAAGGATCGGCTTCGGGCCCATGAGTGGGCGACCGGTTTGTCGAACGAAGAGACCAACAGAGACGGCAAACAACTCGAGGAAATGAAGTGCATCCTACAGTCACGTGTAAGATGGAACGCTAGTCACATGTACCTTATCCAGGTGTAGATCAAATAAACTACACAATTGAAATTGGATGCTCAAGTTGGGACATCAGAGTACAGGAGCTGTGCCAAATTACACTGGATCAGCACTTTAATGGCAGAGTGCATGATTGAAGCTCTACGGTGATCATTTTTCAGTGCCATTTAGCAGTATTTGGGTGGTGGTGGTGGAAACATTGTGGTTGTCGTGATGCTAAATTTCCCACACAAAATCCAAAAGCGTGCGTGAAATGAAGAGGCAAGATGTGCATTGAAATAATCAGCCCAAACACTAAAACCGAGCATAAAAGCTGTTTTACAAATTATCTAGCAACACAAAGTTTGCATGAGAGATCTGTCTCGAAAACACCTGCATTTGCGTCTCAAAAATAATCTTCAATGCAGCACTTTGCGAGGAGCTAGAATGGGACGATGGGATGGGTTTCATAGAGCTGGTTGGAGCACTGAAGCGATGCGTATATTGATAGAACACGGAATGTTTGCGGGTAATCGCGGCTGTATGAGATAAGCAGGCTAAAGGTCAAACAACATAAGAATCCACTTGAGTACAATTGCCAGCATAAATGATTTGTCTGCTTCCACCACTCGGTAAGGCTTTCATCAGACGGTGCGCAAGACATTCTGTTCAATTCTTAATCAAATAATAACAAATTAATCACAATTCTAATGCTCCAATGAAGGACAAACAAAGGGACCAAAAATAATGATAAGTGCAGATCGGATGCGACAAAAGTATTATCAGTTGACTATTCTACATATTTTAACTCTTTAGCTAGACACTTCGGAGAAGGCGAATGCCCGTCTTAACGCGGATCTAAATGCAGCACAGCGTCGGCTTCAAACGCTGCAATCGGAATTGACGGCTTCCACTGAGTCGAGGCTTGATGCTGAATCTCGCCTGGCTTCCATTTACTCTCTGCTGCGTCGTTTTCTTGGTTTTCAACAGCTTCAGGGCTCTCCACCTGTGCTGATGTTAAACTCAAAGAAACGAATTAGCGATGTTGACGAAAGTGATGTCACGTTAGGTAGGGACGATAAGGATGATCAGCATACTCACCAACGTCATCTTGATCAACGCCCCAAGACCACAGTACCTAAAAAAGGTGAGAAGGCGTTTCTCCATCTATTCTGTGAAGTCATGGCATTAGTTGCTTGTAAGCAATAGTTCACATTTCAGGTGAAATAGAGCCCACAACGCATTGACGGGGCCTTAAATTTATTACTTTCTTACTTCGGAGTCTCTGGTGTTTGTTTAACTACTAACACAGAGTACAAAACTAAGATTCGAAGTCCTATTTAGCTGACCGACAAACGGAAGGTGAGGTACTTTAAAAGACCGCCAATATCGCTTCAACAGGAACAAGAATCGGCTCCTTACCTTTAGACTCATTAGGTTGACCGCTCAATTGTCTCACATTCCCAAACCTCGTACATCCCTGCTTAGGTGCTGATTTGGATCCCAATGCAGTAGACTGCAGTCTGCGCGAGGTGATGCGTCAGATGGTCCAACTAGAAAAAGAGAGGGATGAAGCAATCGTGGCGAAGCGCGTGAATGAGGAAAAGCTCCTTGATGTCACCTCTCAGTTGAACGAGAAATCTGTTGAAGTTCAACAACTGAAACAGGGTAGAGTGTCGACAAATTTTGACAACAATTATTCGGGAGTTAACAATGAGTCGTTTCCATCTCATTCTAGAACAAAATTCATTGTCAGATAAGTTGCATCAGTCGCACGACCAGTTGTTGAATAAGGAGGCAGAAGTGCGTCGAATGAAGAAAGAGCGCGACGTTGCCGTTGTACGTGTCGAAGAGTTACAACGCCGGTTACAATTGATGGAGGAAGAATGTAAAGTCATCCAGGTGGGCACAATGTCTTGTTTATGCGAAATAAACTTAAAATTGTTCTTGGAACTGGTATATCTAAGTTAATTCTGCAGGATCGGCTAAATGCTTCCAAAATTCAGGAGGCAAAGACTGCTGAGGATCACAGACGGGAGCTTCGTAAGTCTTTGGAGGAAACTGAAGCTCGCCTGGCGACTGCAGAAACCGCTAGACGGTCCCTTCAGGCAGATTTGCATCGTCAGAAAACTATAACTGCCGATAGGTCCGCTGAAATCCAGGTCCGATTAAATTTTCATAAAATTTGACAAGACAGCTACTTAACAAGTCTTCCCGTTTTCACGCATGATTCCTTTCCAGATTAGCTAATTTCAGAGCCTTAGATGTGAAAGCTTGATGCTTGTCCTCTTTGTTAAGCAAATGTGGTGCCATAAATGCCTCACCTTTTGCTGTGTTGAATATTCGTCCCAATTGTCACACATCCGATGACCGATGACACTTTGTAATGCATAAAGGCAAATACAAAGACTTACTTATTTAAGTGAAACTTCCCATGTTTCAAACTTTTCAGAAACTGGTTTGCAAATTCAAGTCAAATGCATGCACGCTGGACGAAGAGCTAATGCTTATCTAAAGCAAATGCTAGCAAACATCCATGTAAACGATAATGATAAAGGAAAATCCAGGCAGTGGAAGATGATACTGGTGTAATTGTATGCAAAAAATAAGGTTGGATGATGGTTTTCCTCTGCTGATTTTTACCGCAGACGCTGAAGACGAAACTTGAGAGTACACAGAGCGAAGTTTCAGACCTGCACGAAAAGTTGTCGGAGGCAAGCGCCACCATCGACCGTCTCGACCAACGGTGCGAGCACGCAGCTCAGAGCGAGTCCGAGGCGCGCACCAAGGCCCAGCGTTTTGCTGAACGCGTCACAGAGTTGGAGCAGGAGAATGAAAAGTTGCAAGAGCGTCTCAGTAGTGCCCAGCGTCTCATGAGCAATATGGACAATGACCATCGCCTCATGCAGGTTTGTGAACACTCTTTTTACCCCCTTTCCTCCTCCTCAGCTTGGGAAACAAGGTTTGCGAAATGAAATTGGTCAAATCTATTTACCTTTGTTCCCAAGACGAATAACGTACACTGGCTGTAGAATGAACATTGCTTCTATGCGTTGATAATAATTACCGCTTTTTCTAAACAGCTTTGAGGAAGTGAAAAATTTTAGCTTTCAAGAAATTGAGCCCTTGAGTACCCGCATATGAAATGAGTTTTGTATTTCTTTCTTCACTTACGTAGACTGTAAATTATCATCTCTAGATTAGTAAATGCAAGTGCTCCTTCTCTCTGATGATTTCTGGGACAAACAAGTGGACTCCTTTCTGGTTAATGGCTAATTGCAAATTCCACTTCGCTGTGCACCTACTTTAGACTTATAAAAGTTGTGTATGAATAATTGCTCTTTGGCATGTTTGGCATTCTTAATCTCTGCAGGCTCTACAATCCAGTCCATTTGTCAAGTAGTTAGAAAAAGATCTGTTGGGTATAAGGGGTCAAATTAGCAGTACTGTAAGCCCTAATTATTCTCCATCTAGTGTTGTAAGATAATTTTGTTGATTTTACTTAAGCTGAGTTTTCATGAGCATTCGTACTGAGAGAGCCGATGTGATTCTGCCATAGGAGCGATTTGAAAGCACACAGTCGAATTTGTGTGACTGCAAGGAGCAGCTGGAGCAGGTGAACGCTCGTATTCAAAAGTTGCAGAGTGAGTTGGCAGAGGCGGATCTTGTCCGATGTGATCTTGAGGCGCAGAACCGTCAACTGATGCGGCAAAAAAGTGACCACGAAATGCTGCAAAAGGATTTGACGCAGCAGATCATAAGTATTAAACGTAAGTTATGAAGTGAATGAAGTTTGCTCATTCATCTGTTTCTCTAATTTTTACAACAGTTGAAAAAGAAAATGCCCAGACGAGGTTGGATAATCTCCTGAAGAACCAAAAAGAATGGGAAAAAGTGAAGGGCAATCTTGAGTTTGAAGTCAGCGACCTGAAGGAGAAACTGAAAGAGCTGCACGTAAATTTTGACCATGTAAGATGGCAGCTAAACTAAAGCACTTTTATTTACCATCCAACTGAAGTAAAAGTATTGCAAAGTACACTCACTATGGCTAAAGAATAATGCTGATTGGGATCGTCTATTTTTTACAAATAATAAGAACTGATTTAGCATATTTCTCCGATTCTCAGATTGAATAATTTTTTGCGCTTCATTTTATTGGGATGCGTTATATCACTACTGATGGTTTGAATTGTGTAAGATATGCTTGAGTTGTATGGTGCAAAGCGCGGTTCATGATGGATTGCTCCGTAGCCGAATGGACGACCACCTATTTGCATGCATGTGTCCAATAGATAACGCGAGAGAGACTTCGTGAGAAGGAGTTGAATTCGGTTCTTGTTTCAAGTCAGGAAGATGTGCGCAAACGGACACAAAAATTAGAGGAAGAAAATCTCGACTACAGACGTCAGGTCCAACGATTGAGCGTAGGTCTACGAGATAGTAGTTAAGAGCACCTATTGTTTACAAACATCCACTATGGGCATGTTTTCAACACCTAGGCTCAATTAGCACTTCGGGAGGAGTCACACGCTAGTCGCATGGACGAACTGCTTCGACAACGGAATTCCCAAATGGAAACAGAATTGGAGAAGAAATGCGCTGCATTACAGCAGTGCGAAAAGGCCCTTAAAGCTAAGGAAGTCAGCCACAGTCAAAGAGTCAAGACACTGGAAGAGCAAGTAGGTCTAGTATTTTTGCGAACATTAAAAGTCCTACTGCGCATTTCAAGTTACACATTGGACAGCAGTGTCCAAATGTTTTAAGCCTGCGCGAGGAAACCAAGAAACGTGATGTGACGGTATTTGTCTGTTTGATATTGATAGATACGAATGCTGAATGACCAGCTGTCCCACGAGGCGAGTAGGCGCCAACTCTACATGTCGACCAGCCGACTTCCCATTGTGTCCCCTTCGATCGCCCACTATCCGTCCGCTAGTCATCTTTCCCACACAATGACTCAGTCACACGAAAGCCTCGTCAACCCTCAAGAATTCTTCTCCCCGACGGTAAGCTTTTTTAGGTGTTTCGCTACGACACATCATCATCACAATCGCCTTTGATCAGACCGACATTTTCTAAAGAAATAAGGAAAGTAATGGCGAAATGCATTGGGTAAAAGTAAAGTTTTTTTGTATGGAAGCAAGAAGCAATATTCTCGGTTAATAACAACACGTGTATACTAGTGAGGCATTTTTCCATACCTGCACTTTTGGAATAAAGAATTGAGAAAATGAAAAATTAACTATCAGACAGAGGTTTTACGATGCACCACCGGTTGGCACCCTAAGGACATGCACTTGCGAGAAGTAAATGCAACTCGCTGCAGCGCAATTGCTTTGTCGCCTCAACCGTCGCCTTAGGACACCGAGATGTTAACCCTACGGCACAGCATCATTGCGTCATACATAAGCTGACATAGAGGAACAAATCTGGACCTATTCAAAGTCCATCTAATATTCATAGACTTAGGTCTTCATAGTTTCGGAACCTAACTTTTTCCGTTATTTCATGGAGGCCTTCAAGACAGGTCAGACAGTTGTCCGTAAATGTTCTGTTACCTAGGTGACGATTTGTGTGCTAAGCCATGGGAACCACCTTTTTTGCGCTTTTGCGCTCATCCTCGATTTATTGCGAACAAATACTGTAAATAAGTTGAAGTATCGAAGACTTCAACCTTTTGTCTGCTTTGCTAAATCAGGCAGCTCTTTTCATGTATTTTGCTGCCGACACTGATTTGACAAGTCATTTACATTTAGAATGTACAAATGCTGACGATAGGTTTTTGTACTTCCATCATCATTCCATGGAAACTGTAACCGAATCAGGGTAAGATACAACTCCTCAGTCACCAAATCGAGTTGTGAAATGAGGACTCAGTGGACAGTCGTGGAGTGGTTACAGCTCGTCTCTCTGATCCACCATGTCTCCATGCTACCGAGCATCGGTAAACATGGGAGACGTTATTCAGATCGAAACAGCTAATTCTTTTTTACAGATAAGTACTAATATAATCCTCTCTGGGTTGTTCAGGATGATGGGAGGTCACCACTTTTCAGTAGTTTTCAAAGCTTCTGAATGCTGAAACTGAAATACTTCCTCAGTGCAGATGCAACACTAGACACAACCAACCCTTTCGATTTAAAGCAGTCACTACAATTGCTCTAGATATTGTACCGTGAATGCGTTTAATACATATTTTGCAATCTCGTCTCAGGAGGGTGTCATTATGGCACGCCCCCTGCGTGCTCCGCAACCACAGTCGACGGCAACAGTGACAACAACGGTGCTGGCAGGACGAACACCCACCGTGGATGCAGCGCTGTCAGTGAGCGTTCAGACGGAGTCCCGTCCGGCTGCTAGTGCCAGCGGAACTCAGACTCCCTCCACTCGAATTCCTTAGGTTGCTTCGCATTTCCAACATCCATTCCCCAGACATGCTCTACCAGATAATCAGTCACGTTCTTGCCTCTTTCCATGTGCCACATTTTTTTGGATTCTGGGACTTTGAGAGCGTTTTTAGTCTCTCACTGCCCTTCTTTTCTTCTTCCTCCATATCCTTTTAGGTCATATGCAATTGGTATATTAATTAATGAAAGATTTATAGTTGCCACTGCATTTTCGGTGTGTCCGAGATCCACTTTAAGGGGTATTTAAAAGGCTGGGCTTCTGGTTCTCGGATCCACATTCATTAAAGTCACATTATCCTTGTGGCGGAAAATTACCTGCCCTCAGAACATGTGCAAATTTGCGTTATTTTGCCTCTGTTATTGATGTGCATCTATGCATATTTCATCCACGCAGAGAACCTTTGAGTAATCTTTGAGATGTTGGGCAGAAATCCACCATCCAAGTCAATATTAACTATATTTCTGTGAGGTGCTGGAATAAACTCTCTCATGGGCTCTATGACTGTGATAATAACAAGAAGTAAAGTGTCTGCTCACCTTTATTTGCAAACTCAATTCTCCAACGTTAATGACATTACTATTTAGTGCAGACAGCGGAAGGCTACACCTGCCATAAAAGGCAACCACTCTCGTTCCCATAACTGCACATTAAACCAATGCAAGGAGGTTTTGCTCCTGTATGAGGACTTGGATAGAACTTAACATAATAGAGTTGACAGTATGTTAGTTAAGCGGTCTAAGTGGTCTTTAGTGGGCTAAAACGTTGATGATCCGCCTCGATTTGTTTTGCTGCTGACCTGTCTAGAGTTCCACTTCCCGGTCAGTTGAAGAGAACTTACATACGTCTAAAGAGTTCATATAGTGACAACGACGCGGCATTGAGGAGGAGCATGATAATGCCGCATCCACATAGTCATATTTAGCTCCACCATTTGTTACCTGGCTCTCCTTTCAGGCCACGATTCTTTCACCTTCATTTCATTACATTTTGCATTCTTTTATTCTCGATTCCACTGGCACTAGAGGCGTGACCTTAAAGACAATTGATGGAAATATACATTAAAGCCTTTACGATCGAGTGTGCTGACATTAACTCCATTGTCCCTCGCAAACATTAGCGTAGTACTATTGCTTAAGCCAAATTTCTGAGCCTTTTAAGGTAGCACCTCAAGCTGAGGCAATCGCAAGGATCGTGTTATGCAGTTTTGAGTTGAAGCGGTGTTTTCATGTTTGTGGAATTCCCTACGTGATTTAGTAAACATATTTCGCAGCTTGATCTCTTTTGCAGCCTCTTATTCCTTCTTTGAAGGTTTCCATTATTCGGACACATCTAACTCCAGCGCATTGCCATCCTGACGGTAATTTAATTACCAGCACAATAAATATAACAATTTAGGACTTATAAAGTAATATAGCTTAAATTATTCCATTTCATTTTCTTTACACATTGCAGTACGGCCGCTCTTCTTATGTGCCTGAAAGGATCGTAATGCGACTTGCCCTTAATTGAAACACCGAATCGTCATACAAGCTCCCTCGACTGTGGAGAGGAAAAAATTTTGCCATGGCATGCGTAAATTATTCATTCTCGAGGCCCCTTCGAGCCCCTTCAATTTGACGAGAAGGAAAGTCTTTGGCTTTGCAGTAGGAAAACGTCTTCACACATCACACACTTTACGAAGCAGAACATGTCAATTAAAGGTTTATGTTCGTCATTACCATCGATACACTTTCTGGGAAAATAAGGGTAAATGTGAAAGATCCTTCTATTTTTAGACGTCAGTTTACCAGCCAATGTTGTGAATTGTGGAGCAAGTTTCAGGCATGTTCGGTCAGATATTTGCACACAATCATGCTGTTTAGTAGAAGTTTTATATTTACATAATGAATGCATGGATAATTGAGAAGAACCCCCCAAAACACAATCCCAAATCTGTTCCTTAAAGCAACGCTTCACCTCCTTCTCATCCCTCCAGTTCGAAGTGCACCCGCCACTCCAAACAAGTAAGGTGGGCGCATCTTCGCAACATCCTCTGATGCACGCCATGAAAGCCAGAAATAAAAGCTACGGCGATTTCTTAGCATTCCATTTTTAAATAAAAGCGATGCTTAATGATTTAAAGCATTTTAAGTAAGGTATTTGTGTGAAATTTCTCAATCCACTGTTTTCGAAACGACCAAAAAAAGTTTGGTGGCCTTTGTAAACAGCATATTGTACATAAAATTTGACGTTTAAGCGGGTCGTTTACAGCTTTTAGACTAGATGGATGATCGTCAGTAAAATTTCCACACTATAAAAGCCCAGTGGCAGCTTCATTTTGGTGTATTTGAGAGAAAGTCCTTTGAATGAGTCGCAAACAATGGAAATGCCATAGAATGGCATGAAATCAAGGATGGCTAAGACTTGTGTGTCAACACAATTCAAATGAATGCAAGTGCGCAGCTCGAAACGAAAGGTGATGGATGTGGTATGACATTTTCTTGATACAAAAATATAAGATGAATGAATTTTTCATTTTTTCTCTTTAAACGTCAAGTCCCAGGATTGTCACGATAGACGGAGTCTAGTGCAAAAAGCTCATTTATGAGCCACATCAGATTTAAAAACTTTCCTCTTTGTTGCTCCAATACTTCCGACCTCGAGACCGATGTTTGGTGTTGGGATAGATCCAGTCTATGTCGTCTAAAGATGCAGAAGTGCGAGGTAAGTGAGTAACGCCAGTGCTCGTGACTCGCATAGATCTGTAGCCACGACGCGCTTCTTCATAGGCTATGAGTTGCCGCCAAAAGCCAATATTCGGGTGAATGCATGGCCTGATCGAGAGGACATATTCATAAGCCTCAGAGAGGCTCATGTCCTGGTACTTGACTAAGTAAGCCAGTACAATTGTCGCCGAACGCGAAATTCCAGCCATGCAGTGCACCACCGTTTTGCCTCCACGGCGCGCTTCACGGGCAATCCGATCCGCTGCCTCATCAAAATGCCTCCGCAGGTTGGAATAGTCGATATCATCCACGGGAATTTGTGTGTGTCTTTCGACTTGGGCTGCAATTTCGTCGGGAATTGGATCAGCCATGACGGAGATCAGCTGCGTCACTCCTAATTGATGCAGACGGCTTGGTGTAAGAGCCTGAAGACTGCTTAGGTAGAGGTGATCTGTGATTTTAGCGACCTGGCCAAATATTTCTTGACTCACACACACACACGGTGGATGCGTGCATTGAGCCGGAGTCTGAGATCGCCTGGAACCACTCCACTCAGCTGTCGTTGGTATGTAGTAGCTCAAACTTGTCATTGTGTCTGATGTTTGAGTGCGCGAGCCCACTCGTTTAAATTAGGCCTTGCATTTCCGCATGACCTTGAGCCAGTGCAATTGGTTCCTACACAATCCACCAATGGTGTTGGCTCAGAGGATTATGCCACCACGTGTTACGCACAGCTTGTACCGAAAAACCAACTTGCGCGTCTTCGTTCAGCGAAATTGCACCTACGGCATTTGCATCAACCTCAAAGATAAGAAAATGTAAGTGTTGAGGAGACAGTGTCATGATACTTTGTTCACACATTGTGAATGGGAGACATCTATGGCCAAAATTAATTGGACACAATTCTTTCGATAGGAAGGTGCAGATTTAGGACAAGAGCTTTACAAGTTAGCATGTTTTCATGTACCGATTTTCGGTCTGTTGGAGTGGTCAGAAATTTCGGTGAGCAAAAATTAAAAAAATAAACTAATTTGCTTTTAGTCGTTTTACTGCCTGATATTAATTGATGAATAATTTTAATGAGACTGGCTGGTGTTTGGTGAAGGTTCCAGCTACCAAAACTCACTAATTAGTTTAATCGGTTGCATATTTTAAGATTGTGATGCGATTAAAAAAGGGTAAAATAATAACAAAGGTTGAATAACAACCTTTTTTGAAGTATACGCACCTTAGTGTTGCATTTCAAAGTTGGAAGTGCAAGCAAACAGCAATCGGATTGAACATTGTCTTGCATGTGATCATCAATTGCATCCCCCACAACTTGCACAGCACCGTTTTCCCCACCCAGGAAGCTTCTTAATTGGCTTCATGGTTAAGAAATTAAGTTCAATTACTGTAAACTTATTTGTTGAATGCATTTTGTGGAGGCACACTTTGGTGTGCATATTTTGAAAACGGGAGTGTAGCGTTCCGAGACCTCACCAGGTAGAAGAAGGCGTTAGGTTAAACTGAACATTCGTAGTATGGGGATAAAAAGGAGATTAAGCCTGAGATTGACTCGAAGGTCAGTCCGTGCGTACAAGGCCCAGACGAATCTAAAGTGATTGCCAACAACAGCAAGAAACAAGCAAATATTGAAGTACGTCTGCTGTTCCTCTTGAACTAAGGATGAGTGTCTACTGACGTGTGTCGATAAGAGGCGCTTAAAATATCTACCGGGTGGCGTCCACTTGAAGGCGGCGTCAGTCCCACAGACTTGATGCAATCTGCCGCTGCGTGCTCTTACTTCACCAAAGTGGTGATGAAGTTCACACCTTAAATTCTTTAAAGGCGATTTGGTAGAATGAAGCCAAAAAGTAAGTGTGCATTTTTGTGGAACACCACAAATGATAGCTGTCCATGTCTAGTTGTCAAATAACGAATTGCAAAGCCATAAGTCATTGTGGTTGAAAGAAGAAGTTTGAATCTATCTCATATGTTAGGATATTTTTTATTTCCTTACCTGTAAAGCAGATGCAAAAACAATCTGTTTGAAAAGTTGGTTGGTGCAAACAACTTAAACTTTGATAGTTGAAAAGAATGACTTGGGTAACAATTGAATTAGGTAAACTACCTGCATATTTCCTAGCCTTGCACACGTTCACTGTTTTCTTTCTGAGGCCATATTATTCTCGAAGGGGTAGCGCTAAGCTGGGACCTGCACTACTTCCAGTGAATCAGAGAACCTCTCAAAGCAGTTCGATGTGGCGTTCTCACTCCACAACACACCCAATGCTTGTGATGCCAGCAGTTAAGCGTCGCGTTTGGCAAATGCATGGTGAAACAAGTATCGAGTTAAATGCATCCAAAAAATGCACTTAGAAATTAAAACTTGAACCTAGTTGAGGAGCTTAATTTTGCCTTCGAAAAGGGACTAATGCTGAGCGTTTTACTTTAGCAAATGGAAGAGCCTCTGGAATTCACGCTGGTACGGACCGTCAATCATGTGAGCAAGTCGAAGCATGACTTGACGATCTCCAAGAGTCCATTCGCTGGAGCTTTAGCGTTAATCTTCCCCAGCTTGAAGCGCCCTAATGACAAGCTACTTTCTGTATGCTCCCAAATTTACTCTAACATTTTGAGAAAGGAATGACGACGAAATTGAATTTTGAAATTGTAAGGACAAGGCGCCTTTTCACTGATATTGACCTTTTAATCAAGGAAACTTTACTGCGAAAAATTCTCACTGCAGTGAGATTTGAGGTTTGCTTTTGAAATGAGTGTTACAATGGATATGACTTGCATGAGTGCACATAAACCGTGTTTTTACACTTTAACAAAGGAACTAAGGCTCCGTCTTCGTTCTTTTCCCCGACTTCAGTGAATGCAACACAATTGTGAGTCGATGTGGGAAATTTATGGTTTCCCTCATGAATATAAAAAAAGTACAGGCAATAAATGCGACCGCCTGTCTCAAAAGCAGACATCACACTGGCAAAAAACGGCGACATAATTACGCAGATCGACTGTGAGGATGTTGGGATGAAGGCGAATTGAACCGATCACATGGTGTGCGGGCATATCGTGGGAAGCTACGAGAAACATACATAAAAACACAAGCAGGTTTGCAGTTTTAGCTGTTTTGAGACGACATACTTGCACTTATGCTGATGCGCTGGATAATTCGACAAGCCTCTAGCTTAACGCAAACGAAGATGTGTGCATGGACTGAAGACATTTTAGTAGTGCTTAAAGCCTCTCAACAGTTAACAGCTAAAATTCACATGTTAGTTCCACACACAGTTTCAATCTGCACGGCAGAACTAACGCGAGCAGAAGATATTTGTGCTCAGAATTATGCGGGCCCCCGCATTGGTGTCTGCGTACAAAAGCAATCGTGAGGAGGCTGAAAAGGTCGCAGCCTTAATGGCAACTTAGCTACTTTTGGGAGACTTACGGTAATTCTGGGCAGAAATAAATCCTATTGAGATTCTTGTATTCACGCTGATTTCCACTTAACTACTAAAACGCCGCAAGTTCTGGTAATCGTCTATCCTTTCGATAAAAATCCAGTAGCATAAACGAAGCAAAACGTACAAGCAATAAATGCGGACAAAGTCACAAGGCGTGGAATTTTTTTGAACTCGCCTAACTTCGAGTCGAATTTACTAACAAGGTGGTAGAGGAACTTCATCTGCAGACGACCTAATCCAAAGGTGCGTAGGTCTCATGCAGCCAGGTCATTCCAAACATTAAAGAAGCGGACTTCATAGACTACAAGTGACACAGTAAGTTAACTGCGTACTTCAACACATAACCCCGTGACAGCATCATAGGTAAAGGCACGACTCTCCAGTCTCCGAATCAGATGTTGCTTAAGCCAGTTGTGACACCTTTAAGTCGGACTTTTGCCTGCTTGGAGTCCCGTTTACCCATTCTACATCGAGTTGTGAACCTTAAAAAGAAGAGCAAATTCAACAAATAACAGGTGAGGTATGAAATAATGAGTACCGACCGGATTCCTATCTGATCCTAGAGTAGCAAAATTATGACGCCATATAGTCGTTCGATGAGGCACACGACAAAAATGAGTCGTTTCCTAAAACAGACAGCTTGTGGTTGGACTTTGAGAAGACACTGAGACATTTGAATTTATCAAAAACCATTAATGGAAGTCATGTTCCTATAGTAGCACTAAACAAGTCGAATGACGTAAATTATTTGGACAGTCTATGGTTAACGATTTGACCTTCCTAAGTTCACAAAGTAGTGACTTAATTCTGGTAAGTTCGTTTTCAATTTACAGCGGAAGGAAAACCAGTTTCTAGGTAGAATTTGCGTTCCAGTAGTTAAGGAATGATTGGCCAACTAGGGTGCTTTGCTAATGATGTTAAAAGTAAACAGATTATCTGAATAGCGGGGATGTGAGGTACCATAACGCTTCTACAGGGTGAATCGTACTCCCTTCTTTTCCGTCAATACACGCATTTGCTTTAAAACTCTTATCCTCCTTAAGAAAGTATTGAGGCGTCGTGCATTATCTTAAAATTCCTCCCATATAATCACTTCGAAGTCGGAATGATCACTCACCTAACTTTTGCACTGGAAAAGTTTAAACGAAGTCATGCAAGTGTAGAGATGGATTTTCTAGCTCCAATAGAGTCATTTCTTGTTTTTTTTAGTGTGGTTAAAACACGAGACCAGCGTAAGCCTTCACTTTTAAAACAAAGTTCATGAAACATGACTTCTAGCAGTGGTTACCATTTTAGCGCATTTTGTGCCTTGTCTTTAAGTATTCCTCAAAATCACTTTTTACTTTCAAAATAGGCTCAAGCTTTATAGCATCTCAAGATCTTCCACCGAGTTGAAGAAGACAGTAGGTGGATCTGAATACATGTAGTTTACTCAGAGCAAAGCTGTGGCACGAAGATCAACTTACGTCTACAAGGATGAGACGAGGCTTAAATCAAAGTTCAGACGTCAAATGATCACATAATAAAGCAATACAAACTTAGCTACGAACGAGTGTAAGCATATACCTGAAGCAGGGAGGTGGACACCATAGACAACTGAACCACCCTAATTTCTATAATCTGGCTCAAAACTGGAGATATAGTGGAGATATAAATATATTCTGTTAATCATTTATATGCGCTTTTAAGATTTAACAACTAGGTCTAATGTTTCCTGGAGTTATAAGGTGGAAACAATTTTTAACGAATATTTGACTTTGATCATTGCATGCAGTGTTGTAATACTTTGTACAAATTACTGCACGATTGTAAACATCATTTGTGATGACATGAAATTCGTAGAATGAATTGTATGATACTATGATTTGAATGAAATTGTTTATATTTATACACGCTAGCGTAGGATGTTGTTTTAATTTTTGTAACTTGTCCCCGAGCCGTTGACCTAAGTCGCCTTTTCCGCTGATTGATCTGGAGATGGCTGAGAAACCTCAAAAACCCATTCCTAAGTATATGAAATTCGTTCTTGGTGGTTCAGCTGGGTACGTGACTTGCGACTCTTTCTTCCAAACGAATTACCATTGAAACATCGCTACTGTATTTGACAGTTGCTCAGGTCGTTATTATCTGTTGCCTTGGGACTTATTTTGTGGATAACACATTAGGACTAGCTGCTTTTATTGGTGCCTAGCTAAAATGGATAGAACGTTATGGGATTTTCACTTTACAACGTGAAACTTGCTATGATAACTTAAATTTTTAATGAATTTGGACTATTTATTTTTCAGCTTTGAAGCGTAGAATATACTTGTATAGTGAGGGGCATTTACACCTTATACGGTGAATTCAGTAGTTTTTCGCATTGGCTTGCACACTAAAATACAGGATTACTAGTATGAAAAAATAAGTCATTATTGAATTTCTAGCATGATGGCTACGTGTGTCGTTCAGCCGCTCGATCTTGTGAAGACGCGTCTCCAAATCAGCGGTATGTCATCAAATATTGATAATGCTGTTGATGGCTTGAAATTTAATTGTTTATTTTTGGGATGAATGAACAAACAGAAATTGTATAGCTTATGTAGGGCGCCTAAGCAACCGTTATTTCTTCGATTTCGCTGGAAGACAATTTTTATTTCTAATTGACCTTATTTCCCGCCACTTCTTGTCCCACTGCATGTTCATCGCATTCGTACTGTATTCATTACAAGACTGTACTGATGCCTTTTCAATTCATTTTGGAAACTCAAGTATGTGGAAACAGAGGGAACAGTGGGCTAAATTGGTGGCTGGCGAAGTACAAACACCTTTTTTTTTTCAGGCGAGGGAGGTACCACGAGAGTCTACAACAGTACTTTCCATGCTATTCGCACCATCGTCAAACAGGAGGGCGCCTTCAAACTCTATACAGGGTCAGTTTGACTTCTACCAAGTAGCCTTTCCCCCTGCCCTGGTATTTAATCATTTTATCAATGATTAGTTTAATTTTGAGGCATTTGTGAAATTTAATAATTTGCAAAATTCTCTAGTAGGGGATTGTTGTGGTTGTGTTGGTTGGGCTGATGCTACAAGTTGTATGTGTAAATCTTGAACAGATGTTTTGAGCCTAGTTTATTTGAATGAAATTAAGTCGTCTCTGTTTATGTTTGCGGGCTTCCGCCATCGTCTTGTTGATATGTCCTAAAGGTCGGTGCAAGGCGTTGCTTTAATTACTTCAAGCGTTTCAGATGTCTGGTCGATTATTGGCCTCTCACACTTTCCCTTCTTCATATACGTCGAAGCCGTAACAACGAGTATCTTTCCATAAATTCTACGATAGCCTGGAAAGGGTGCATATAAACGAGTGTTCATTTCCATCGCTGAATCCTGCTTAGTATAAACTAAAATGACATTATGATCCCCACAAATAATGATTTTTTGGTGGGACCATTTAACTCTCTTACAATCGAGTCCTATTTAAAATCGAAGTCATCCCACAATTTCCCATGATCTTTGCGTCCATTTACCGTATTTTGTAGTTTTATCTCTCAGACCCTAAGTAATTGAGGTTAGTGACCCAGTCTGGTCTCCTGCGACCTTTCAAAATGATTCTTTACCCCAGGTTGTCGGCAGGGCTGCTAAGGCAGGCAACCTACACGACTGGTCGATTGGGCGTCTACACGAGCCTCTTTGAGTATGTCAGCTCACGTTCACAGTCGGGCAGTCCACCCTCCTTTCTAGCGAAGATGACAATTGGCCTTACTGCTGGTATTCTCGGTTCCTTCGTTGGCACCCCAACTGAGGTCTGCCTTATTCGTATGACTGCTGACGGCAAGTGCGTGTCTTATCGGGCTATAATCTAATTCCTGCAGCATGCTCTCTTTTGAAAACACCTTGTTCATTTCTCATTGGGAGACACGTGATAATTTGTCTCTTAGTGCTGCTAATATGCATTGATCTGTTTCTACTTTCGGAATACTCTTGCGCTCTGTTTTACTCATCTTGAATACTATTTTCCATTTCTTTTAAATAGCTGCTCTTTTTAAAGCCTGGTTTACTGAAAGGAGGCATCGGCGAAGATGGGTAGCTTGCAGGGCGGTTCTTAAGTAATTGTGGTCTCACTCTGAACCCATTCTTTCCGCTGATTTGAGATAAACTTATACTGTCAAACAGGGCGTCTTGTCTCGAAGGTTTTATGATAGCACAACTTGTAAGTCGCGAAAACTGTCACTATGCATCGTCAAATACCTCGGAAACGGAAAAGTTTGCTGAGTCATACATTTTTCAGAATCAACGTATTATTTTCAGGATCGGGGTTTTGTCCAACATGTTGCTCACTGGAGGCTTCTTTTAAAGCTGGCAGCTGTTTGACTCCTTTTTCACTCCATTTTCTTTAATTTTACTCTTCTCTGACGTGTTCCCCTTCACTTTTTATAGCGTCATTACACATTTTTTGATTTGTATTTAAGTTGGTAATGGAATTGAACGGGCTATTGCTTTTGCGCTGGCAGTTTTTTGACTCAAATTGGGAAAACAATTTTTTGAGTCTCGCTGTTGTGACAGACTTCTTAAACTGGTTGATTCCTGAAAATTTATAGTTAAACTCGACATTGGTATATGGATAGCCTGTTAATGGAAATCTTGTTATTCTAAACCATTGTTACTCTGGTCGCTGCGTATCATGCTGTTTATGTTGAGAATGTCGCTTGCCACACTATGTGGATGGTAATGGATAGTTAGTCTGGTACCATCAAATTGTCCATTTGTTTACTTAAACCTGCCGGTGTGTTGAAACCTGTACAGATGCACTTCATCTTTGGGTCAGCATCATGTGATATTCATCTGATATGAACTAAAAGCTCCTTTCCGCTCTGGCTTGTCATTAAGACCTTCCACGTCAGTGCCACATTTCAACGGTCAATTTTGGTACGGACGGACAAAAGGCTTCCTCTGCTCCTAACGCGTGTAATCTTGAAGAGCTCACTCATTCCTTGCCCACTTGCATTAATCCAAATTGCTTCTGAAGAAATTTTTAAAATGAGTTTTTCTGTTCCAGCTTCATGAATGATGAATCACTGGATGGTTAACTCAGAAATTACGATCCGAATGAGTGTTTACTGAATCGATGGTGCGAGTCTCATTTCAATTACCTTGCCCTAATTTTGATTGTCTTTTCTGCGGTCGTTGTTGAGCTATGCGTCAAATAGGTTTCATTAGTGAAGACTGGGTATTATCATTGCCAAGCAATTTAATTGTAATTTACGAACTAGTAATTCTCCTTCCTCAACAGTTAGCTTTTCAATATTGAGGTTAAAATCAAAGTTCATTGTTCCTTCATTTTTTACCTAGACTTCCAGTTGCTGAACGAAGGAACTACACCAATGTGTTCAACGCCCTATACCGAATTTACAAGGAGGAGGGTCTTTTCGCCCTTTGGAGGGTACGTCTTCTCCATCACCTCCATTCACATCCTCTGGCATGATAAATTCATCAATTTACTAATTTGGTTATTTTGAGTGCTGTTCCTCTTTCTGATTCGACAACACAAATCAGGCCATTCTCCTCGTTTATCTAGCTGGGGTTGCACAAATTTGTGGTTTTCTGAGCGATTTTCTAGCTCCACCTTGCTCGCTGCGAAAAGTTATGAATCACTAACCTCTGATCTGTTTGTAGTAATGCAGCGAATCTTATGTCTAAGAATGTTTTTTTGTAAAATCACTTGTCTCTATTTTACCCAACAATTACATTCCTTGCGTGCTTGTTTATGGGTATACTCATCAGTCTATCTTTTCTTTAGGCACTTGAATAGATATTCTAGGTTGTATAATGGCACAGCAGCTATTATTCTCCAACAGTTCTTACGTAAGTCGTGATGTATCAAAACATCGTGGCTTACTCCTTCTAGAGCATTGCTTTTCTAAATCCTGTTACCTCATGGCAATGATCCACCACTACCACTTCGTACTCGAAGTGACTGTTCATATAATACTCATATTCGCTACCAAATAAGCCTCTTTTTGCTTTGGTCTGACTCACGAGAGGTCAAGCACTTCTAGTGTACCTCAGCACTGTCTCTCCCATGCTGTACACACGGTACTCAATCTCTGACCTTAGAAATCCTAATTTGTAGTTGTGCGCGGACGCCCTTAAAGACCCAATATGAGAAGATGAATGACAAAATTCGAAGTACCTTTTTAGTGGTACCTCCGACATCAACATGGCTGACATCCATTCCAATAATAAATGATTGAGAGGAAAGCTCTCTTAGCTGTTTCAAATTTTTTCCTCACACTATCGCTTCTTTTCCGCTATCGCACTAACACGTGAGCTGACCGCTTTGTGCTTGGAAGGATTTTTTTACTGCTATTATCTTGTTTGGAACGATAAGGTGAATTCTGTTGGCTTATTAGTACGTGCTTCTAATTCAGTGATATAACTCGTATTAAATTCGAAAAGTCATGAACTTATGTACGCGGAAATGAAATCTGTATTATCTTACGGAAAACGCAGAATGTGGAAGTCTTTTGACATTGAACTCATCTCATGTGGTGCTGTTAGCCTATTTGCTTGCAAACATAAGACTGGTGGAATCTTTCGGTTCATAAGGGTTTCTTAAACGCTTGATTCTGTTGCACAGGGCGCCCTACCGACGATGGGTCGAGCAGCGGTGGTGAACGTAGCCCAGCTAGTTTCTTATTCTCAGTTCAAACAGATCATTTTAGAAAGCAGTGAGTTGTGAGGCCCGCTCCTCAGCATTTCTACTGAACCCTACTTTTCAACTTCAAGCAGTTTTCTCCCTCAATCTCGATAGATCTAATGCAAGATGGCTTCGGTGTACATTTGGCGGCAAGCATGTGCTCTGCCCTTATAACCACTATTGCCTCTCTACCCGTCGATATCGCCAAGACACGCATCCAAAATATGCGCACAATTAATGGCCGACCTGAATACTCCGGTATCATTGTAAGTTGTCGTAAGCAACTAAATGTTATCTGTATTTAAGAATGATAGGTGAACCCTTGTCGATGCTATGAACACTAATTTTTACAAATATATTGAGTTTATTTTACATATAGAAAGAGGCTTTTGCATAAGACAAACAATGTCAATCCAGAAGTATACCGCATTCCCTCATTATTTCACTCAACATCTTAAAGTGAAAAATCGCGAATACGTCCTTAACATTTAAACCTCTTCAAATTCTACTCAGGACGTATTGAGTCGAACGGTGAGGTCAGAGGGGGTGATGGCATTGTGGAAAGGGTTTACTCCTTATCTTTTCCGTATTGGACCTCACACGATACTCACCTTCGTTATTTTGGAACAACTCAACTCTTTGTATAACATCTACGTCCTCGGCAACAAGTCCGGCTGTGCCAGTAGTGGGCTTTGATTCTTGTAAGTCATTATCCCCTCTAGTCGCCTCCACTTACACCTCTATTGATCAGTGAAAATAGTACAAATGCTGCATCATTTCTGTTTCAGGTAATTTAAATTTTACAGCTATTAAATAGAAGAACGCGACGATGGATTAGCAATTCCGAAGTGTGAAAAATTTTGTAGTTTAAATGACACAATAAAGAAAATTAGCAACGTGACAGACGTCATTTATAAATACGGGCTTAGCACTTTGAGGTTATGCATAAAGCTGTTCGGATTAGATTATATTTGTGTCATCGGTAAGAAAACGTTGTTTTGCATTAATTAAATGTAAAAAAATGTTAATACAAGATCAGGAGTTGGTCAGTGAAAACGCAAAAAATTAAGTTTCGTAAACAAATATAGTACTTGTACAATAGCACTAGATAAAGGCCAACGGTTTAAACTCAGAAGGAGAAGAGAAAGACAATTACAATACATACTTAAAAGGCCTAACGACGAGGACCAAAAACGCAAAAAACAACTATTAGCAGATATGGCAATAACAAAAATACAGAAATAAGAAAACAGGGGATAAAAGAAATATTAAAAAGAAAACAAAATTAAAGGCAAAGCCATGATTGGGATAGGAAATAAGATTAAGTATAGGGTGAGGATAAAATGGTGGTGGAGGTAAGAAACGGGTTAAAGTAACGGTTTCGGTGAAGTGAAAACATGATTAATATTAGGCTTAGGGTACAGAGGAGTGTGGCTTATTGTCCGAGTAAGAAGACGCAAAAGATTAAGGCATAAGGGTAAAAAGACGTTAGAAAAAGGTAAACATAGGTTAAAGGATGCAGTTCCGCTAAAAAAGGGAATAAAAAGCAAGAAAGCTTAACAATTTAAATTAGGATTATACCAAGGAGATGATAGGAAAAGGGATAAGAAGAATAAAAAAAGTCTAAGATCTAAGAAGTTAAGAAATATAGTGAGAAGAAAAGATGAGAGAGGGAGTAATAAAAACAAAATGTCAACACCCAAGAGAGAAGGTCAAAGATCATGTAAGAAAGTTCCAAAATCCAAAAAACGCAAAATAGAAAAAGTTTCGAAGAATAAAAATTGCAGTAAATAAAATCGACGACAAAAAAGAAGTCCGAGCTGTGAGTAGTCAAGAATTCAAACATGGCGTTCACATAGACGATAAGCCACACAATTGGATGCAAAAGCACGCAGTGTCGCATCATATCAACAAACGGGGACGCAAAAGCTGGAGGAGTAAATGAACCGAACTCGGACTAGGGCTTCCTGTGCGTAGTTAGGGTTAGGGTTAGGGTTAGGGTTAGGGTTAGGGTTAGGGGTTAGGGTTAGGGTTAGGG